TGTGTGTGTGTGTGTGTGTGTGTGTGTGTGTGTGTGTGTGTGTGTGTGTCACAAACAACTAAACAGGTTTCAATAAACAGTCAGGAAGTAATTATTGGCAGTTTGTGTAGAAAAACTATAACTTATAAAACAACAAAATCAATCTTAATCGAAGTTTTTCCACAATCATTTCTACTTGTTAAATGTTCAAATAATGTGAGAGGATTTTATAAAGAAGTTTTTATTACATAAAACAGCCACAAGTTTACATACATACACAATGATTTACAAGACGAACATGTGTTGGTGTGTAATGTGTGTTTTAACCCCAAAACTGAAGCAAAAGGCTTTTTGAAGATGTTGAATGCAGCTCTAAGAAGGTGTAATCGTTCACAGTGAAATAAGTTCTGAATCGACATCAGCTGGAAGGTCACTTAATGAAGAAAAAAGCACAAATATAAGAGCAACATAAAAAATAAGATTACTCTAATTTTTGAAGACTTGTCCTGATGTCTGATGAAACTAAAAACTATGTAACTAAAARCATTCAAAAGATATATTTAAAAAATGTTTTAAATGTAAACAAACTTTCTTTTATTGTATTCTATTTTGCATCATTCTTGACTGCCTTCTCCTTTTTAATAGTTTCTTAATTGATGTTTTGATTTCTTGAGTCTGTAAAACATAAATGATTGGGTTCAACATAGGAGGAAGAACTGTGGCAGAAGATAAATTTATGATCCTGGCATTTGGGTGTATTTTTGCCTGCATAGTAAATGTGATTAATATYGGAATAAAATAGATTACCACTAAAGACAGATGAGCTGTGCACGTTTTAAAGGCTTTTACTCTCTCTTGAATTGAAGCAACTTTGGTTAAAGCACAGCCAATACAAATATAACTGGACAGGATGACTCCAAAAGGAAGCCAAAATAAAATAAATGGCATCACATATGAAATGACAAAACTGGGATAATTATCATTACATGCAAGTTTGAACATTTGACCATGGTCACAAAAAAAGCTGTTGATAACCAMAGACTCACAAAAAGAAAGTCGGGTGAGAAAACCAACTGCAAATAAAACACAAATTATTGCAAGGAACCAGAAAGAAACAATCAACGAAAACATTGATCCTTTAGTAACCTTTGTTTGATAGTGCAGAGGAAACATGATGGCCACCAGTCGATCATAAGCAAGAATTACCAGATTCAGAGCCTGCATCGAAAGAAACGTGTAGCAAAAGAAAAAAAAAGTCATACAGTCATTGTAGGAAACATTATAATCATTGAATAAAAAAACATCAAGCACTTTCGGCACCAGAGCAGTGCTCTCTAACAGATCCACAAAGGCCAGGTTGAAAACAGCAACATACTTTGGAGTTCGTAGGTTATGATCCAGATATATTACAGCCATAACAGCCGTGTTTCCGAGCACCGAAACAATGTAGACAAAAAATAGAAACACATAGTAATACTTCATAAAAGATAAACCAATGAATCCACTCAATACAAAATAAGCAGGACGAATAAAGGTGATATTTTTTCCAGCAGCAGAGTTGAATAAGTCCATAGTTAAATTGTTAATAACCTTTGAGCCCTCTCAGTACTGTCACCCAAGCTGCAGATGATAATGCTGTTAAAAYTGATGTCTTTGTCATTCTCTAGTTTAAGGAGGTCTGACAAGCTCTGASTGTTTTTAATCATTTTTTATTGCCTTCCTCCCAAATCGAAGGTGGAGCAATAATATTTAATGAATCATCATGTGACCACTGTCTCTAGTACATGCATTTTTTRCATGTTTGCTTAAGCCTTACCATTAGGCACCATTGTTTGTGTGTTAGCAAAATTTCTCATAAACCACTAAACAGATCTGTCTGCCCATCTATTTTCTTTACCATTTCTTTCCTTTCCAGTAGGTGCTGGGACAGCTGGTACTAACTCCAGCAGGCACTGTGGGACATGTGGGGTRTACTGTATGTGACGTGCCATGGGAAAACCAGYGACAAGTCRCTGAAGCACAAACTGAGAAAAAAGGAAAAACTATCATTTTCTGAGAAAATAGTGATTTTCATTTTTTGRCAAAATATACTAGTTGAAGTTATGAAGAATCCACCCAATGCTTTGAATAGCCGTTTCTGGGGTTTTAAAATGGTTAACACTGTGTTTGAATTCAAGCTGTTTTCAGAGTAAAAAGAGCAGACAGGTAATTTGTGTTTCGAGGAGGAGATCCTCACAGCTGATTAACATGCTGGTTCTATTTGTCTGTTCTCAGGCTGTTAACACACTTGTTATTATGTCCTGATGCCTCTCAGTAGTTTTGACTTTTGTTATTAGTTTGGGCCAGTGAGCTGCAGGTGTTAAAGAAAGGCAAGGCTACTTAAACTAGTTATTAATGCTGTTTTGTTCTGTATCAAGCATCGAGAACGCAGCTCCAGAACCGAACCACAGCTCTAAGCTGCAGTGTCACAGTGGCAGAAACTTTTTCACCAAGCAGACACCGATGAGTTTCAGAACATTTTGTTACAGGATTTGTGGTGAAGGATCGACAGACACTAACCTCCAGTTTAAATCTTATAACTCCACGTCTTCAGCTTTACAAGAGAAGTCCAGTTGCTTCGTCTTGTTTCTTTTCATTTTCCATGTCCTGGTAATCCACAAAAAGTAACATCTTTCTTTGGCCATGGTCCCATATCCAAATGCATCATTTCGTTGCAAAAAATAAAAAAAATAAAGCTTCACCAGAGCATCCAGTCAGAGGAAGGTTCAGATACAAACACTGAACTAAACAATCATGTAGGATAGCATGTTTGGCTAACTGTAAACAAACAGTGGGCATGTCATTATTTGCACATGCCGGTCACAACATCACCATCTTGTGTTCACAGTAGTCTGATGGAGGTCACATGTGAACGTTCACACCTGAAGGTCAGAAGTGAATCAGAATCAGTTTCATTGCCATTGTCAATGAACAGAATTCACAGACTAGGAATTTGCTTCGTTGTTAAGGTGCAATAGGAATAACATAACAAATAAAGAAAGTACAAAGGATGAAGGGAATATATATGTGTGTGTGTGTGTGTGTGTGTGTGTGTGTGTGTGTGTGTGTGTGTGTGTGTG